GCCGGTATGTCTGTCCAGCTTTCTATTTCTCCGTGTATTGTCGCTTCTCTCTTTCTCTCGCCTTCTCTCAAATTATATATCTCTATAGTTCGCCTCTCTCTCTCTCTTTACTTATTCATCTCTCTCTCTCGTTCGCCATCTCAACATCTATCCCTCTCTCTTTCTCTCGATATCTCTCTTTCTCTCGCTTGTTCTCTCTCTCTCTCTTTATTTATTTGTTTGTTTCTCTCTCTCTCTCTCTCTTTCTTTGTTTCTCTTTCTCTCTCTCTCTGCCCCTATTAGTGCTTCAAGCAAGTATCCTGGTGGCTTCCTTTGGTGGCCCCTCCGGAGGTTTTTGTGGGGCCACCAGGCGGAAAGCGAGAGGACGGAGGGGGGGCTGTCATTCCTCGTGCTCCTCCCCTCTCGTCCATCCTAGTCCCTCCTCCTCCTCCTTCTCCTCCTCCTCGTCCTCCTCCTCCCCCTCATTCTTTCTCCCCCACTCGGGATCCGCGCTGAGGCCATAGCTCCATAGCCCCTCCTTCTCCTCCTCGTCCATTATTCGCCTCCGCCCTCCCCTCTTCCCCCTCTCGTCTCCTCGCCCCCATTTCTTTTTACCCACCGCCCCCCCTGTCTCACCACCAGGCGCGTCCGTAGGCCAGGCGGGCGCTTCGCTTGACAATCCCCCCACAGACTCGAATCCAGAAGCTAAACAAGCTACGACTCCTGCGGGCATGGAGAGAAAGTCGTTTTCGAAACGCAGCGCGCCCTCCAGCGCCGCGCACACTCCTCGTTAAATGTTCCCGCATGTTCAAAAATGTTCTGACATGAGGCCGTGTCGCTATTATTCGCGATTCCACTGGTGACTGGCCCCGCCCCTTCCCCCATGGTCACATAACGATGTGTGCCAGCGCCGTCTGGGAATACCTCGGCATAACAAAGACAGTTCGGATAGCAGGTGCGTGTGGAGATCTGCTGCAGCAGAGCGTGCACCATGCTATGGGTACGCATGGACTTGCAACTCTATATAGCTATGTATAGCTGGACGCAACGTGGGATACTGCTGACAAAGGAATGTGGTGTTGCTGTAGCCTCCCCCCTCTCTCGTCTCTCCTCTCTCGTCTCTCGTCTCTCCTCTCTCCTCTCTCCTCTCTCCTCTCTCCTCTCTCCTCCTCCTCCTCCTCCTCCTCCTCCCCCTCCTCCTCCTCCTCCTCCTCCTCCTCCTCCTCCTCCTCCTCCTCCTCCTCCTCCTCCTCCCCCCTCTCTCCTCCTCCTCCTCCTCCTCCTGTTTGCTCTTCTCTCGTCCATCCTCCTCCTTCCTCCCTTCCTCCCTCGTTGTCGTCGTCCAGCCTTCTTCCTTCGTCGCCGACGTTGCGTTGCAAACGTGCTTCACACGAAGACGGACGAATTAAGGAGGGAGTCTGGGAGAGGAAGGGGGCGTTGGACGCGAGACCAGGGCGGAAACGACCTTTTCTATGAGAGTTATGTTGTCGGTGCGTGCTCTGGGAGGGGTATGGGCGCCCCTCTGCCCGAGGGGGGAACCGACTTCGTCGTCATCGTCGTCTCCCTCCTCCTTGCTCACGTCATCACGTCCCTCGTTGTATAATCCACTTCCTCCGTTCTATGCTGCAACGTGCTTCACTGCAGAACATCGTGCGCACCACATCGTTTGGGCGCGCAGCGCGGCTCGGCCAGGCGGAATGGCGTAAACACTTGAGCTCCACGCGGGCCACGTCCAACTCAAACTGACAAAATGCGCACCATATCCGTAAGTTCTGAATGATCGATCTACGATCGAGAATTCCAAGCTGGGTATCCTAGACAGACCAGGAAGATGGAAACACACGCGGTTGGAATCGCACGCATGCGCGATACGCGGAATCCATCTCATGGAGTTCCGAGGTGTTCCATCCACCTTGCTTGGACGACTGCGGTCGGTCTTACTGAAATGGCAAGAGGAGATGCACGCGTCGATTCGCACCAGTTGCAAGCGTGGCAATCAATGTCCGACGGCCCCCCACTTGGGGCCACCAGGCTGCGAGTATCATGTTCCCTTCTCGCGTGAGGCAGAGAGTGCGCCCGCAAGCACCGCATTGACCCGCGAGATGTGCTTGGCGGGGAACAGAAGTAGGGCGAGGACGACGGAGAGGAGGAGGGCGATGAGGAGGACGACGCCGAGGCCCTACTTCCCCCCAGCGGGCCCACGGGCGCCCGGACCCCTCCCGGAGCACCAACCGACCACACGAGTGTAATCCATCGGGGCGGTCGTTTCGGCCTGGCCCCGCGTCCCTCGCCCCCTCCGTCGTCCCAACTCCCTCCTGGGGAAAAGGAGGCGAAAGGAGGAGGAGGAGGAGGAGGAAGGAGCGAGGAGGAGGAAGGAGGAGGAGGAGGAGGAGGAGGAGGAGGAGGAAGGAGCGAGGAGGAAGGACGGAAGAGTGCCCTGGCGCGTCCTGGGCGCCACAGCGTCTGTGGCAGTGGACACTACGCAGCGTACGGAGCGTCGGGTACCATTCACAGCGCCTGATGCGCTGGAGGTTCTCACGGCCCTTCTTTGTGAGGAGGGGTGCACTCTTCGATTGACTGCCGTGAGTCAACCGTGGCCGAGCGACCACAGGAAGAGCAAAACGAAAGCGAGTACGTAAGCCAAAAGTGCAAACAATGACTGCAGTGAAGTTGCGCCCCTAGCCGTCACCACCCTAGTGGCCCGAACAAGCTCACGACCGAAAGGTTCATCACTTGCCGCGTTGCAGGGGCAAGAGATGCTGGCATGCCTCCAGCACCTGAAACGAAGGAGCAATTCTCGAGCAAAGCGAGCAGGTCCACCTAGGACCCGTCTTAACTAGATAGCGCGAGCTGCAAAGGAGGACAGCTTGGAGATTCACGATTTTCGCTCGGCCCTTCTCGGGCCTCAGCGGCCCGCTGGCGGGCCCAAAAAACACGTAGCATCCCAACGGTCAGTGTCGGGCACACGCTTTTCGAGTGGCAAGCCGCCAGGTTCCCTTGGCGGCATCGGACGCGAGAGCGTCAGCAAGTTTACCCGACGCGAGGGGCATCTCGTTCTCCGAGAGCGAGTGGTCCGTGAGATCAAGCCGAGAGGGCAACCATCGCATAACGATCCCGCCCTCGCTGCCCATACGGGCCAGACGAAACCAAAACCACGAATCAGAAACGGCAGAGCCCTAGCAAGAGAGGTAACGTCGATGGCATCAGCCATCATACAGAGGGCAGGCAACAAAAGCGCCGTCGTTCTGTAAGAAACTGGCAAAGTCCTGCTGTGACTCTCCGATTCTGGCTAGCTGGCTCTCCACGCCAGCAGCAGCAGAGGCCTCCTAGATGGGGTCAGAGTCGAAGGGTCGCGCCGCATCGCAAATGCAAGGCCGATGCATCGCCGATGCATCGGCGATGCACCGGCGATGCATCGCCGATGTGGGTGACGCATCGGCGACGTCGGCGTGGGGAAACATGGGCTCCGCATCGAGCCGCATCGACGATGCATCGGCGATGCGGCGCGATCCTCCGACCCCATCTACTCCGACCCCATCTGGGAGGCCTAGCAACAGTGCCCTCCGCTCGCACCACGGTATCGCCCACGAACGTCCAGCGCCCCCAGGAGGACCGAAGGACCCGAAGGCCCGAGGCCACGCGCGCGGCTGCCAACATCGGCCCAAGGAAAACCCTGAGCGGAGCCCGCCACAAATGGAACGGGTGGGAAACGTCAAATCAGACGCGACCGATCCAGAGCCGAGGATACTGGGGACGAGACACACCTGCACCTCAAACGAGGCAATCGGGGAGAAGGAGAAGGAGGAGAAAGAGGAGGAGGAGGAGAAGGAGGAGGAGGAGAGAGGAGGAGGGAGGAGAAAGCAAAGCAATGTTCGATTATCAACCATCCCTCAGCTATCCATAGCAGGCCCATGCATATCCAAAGCACGGTGCGCGATCTGCCGTAGCAGATCCCTATGGGCATCTGCTATCGGAACTGTCTCCGCTTGTTCCTGAGAGTTCCCAGATGACACTGGCGCGAATCGGAACGTTGACAGGCGCCCTCCTCCCCTCCCTGAGCACGCCCGTTATCGCCAGGAGGCGAAAGCGCTCTCAAGGGAGCGAGGGGTCGGGGCGGATGGTCTTCAACTTGCGGCTCGCGCCCCCACGCCGCTCCACCGCAGAGCAGGTTACCCCCCGCCCAGGGCAACTTTGCAGTGAGAGGTCGGCTTGCAAGAGGGCTGCCTGGGCCCTCCCGGGGATGCAGGGACTGGTCGGGCCATCTCGCGTCTCTGGTCCTCGTCTTCCCTTGACAGGGCGTTCCTGATTTCAGGGCCCCGTAGACCCGGACACGCTAGACCCGGACACCCAACATCCTTCGAAACCAATTTTTCCAAACGGCGGCACGAACAAAATACTGCACTGCAACATTTCCAGAATAAACCCGGACACAGGCCCCAAAAGCCTGCAAGACATCCCTAAACCCGGACACAAACCCGAATCCTGCAGTGCAGCAAACAAAACGTGCACGGGCGCTGAAAAACGTACTTTGCAGGAAAGGATGTCGTTTCCTTGGTTTTCCGTGTCCTGGTTTATCTGTGTCCTGGTCTCTGGGGGCCTGATGATTTCACGGCGCCGCAGGCCCGGATTCAAGCTCGCGAGGCGGCGGCAGCAAGACAAGGGCTTCGGGCGCCGCATCGCGCGATGCTGCTCGATATGCCGTCGCGGAGCGACGCCTCGTACGGCAGGTTCGCGTCGTGTCGACCCCAGCGATGGTTTCTGTCACCTCGGGGATCGTTCAACTTTGAACGATCGGCCCTTTCCGAGACGTGCGATCCTTCAACATCGACCGATTCTGAGTCGCCGGCGGCGTTCAACCTTGAACGCCCGCGCTGGGGTCGCCGCCGGTCGACACGACACGAACCTACCGTAAGCATCGTGTTTCGTTACCCTCGTCGGGTAGGCAGGTGATCAGGAGGGGTTCGCAACGGCACTCGCTGGGCCGTCCAAGACAGCGGGGGCTCCCCAGCACGGCCGCGCGCCGTCGTCGTAGGCGAAGCCGTACACCCCCGGGCACAGCCTGTGCACGGTGTCGAGGTACTTGCTGTCCTTGATGGGTCCTTCTCCGGTGCTGCCATCGGGGGCGTCCGAGAGGGAGGCGTCGAAGAGGGAGGGGCATGCAAATCATGGGCGGCGGCATGTGCGCGGCCCAGGGGTGGACTGGGGACGTATTGAAATAAGAAGAGGCGCCATGCAATCTGAAGAGATATCATGGCCCCCGCCATGATGTCCCCCCCCCCCTAGTCGTCAACCCCCCCCCCCTGGCCGCTCCCGATGCCAGGGACGTCCCTGGCCCGAGGTGCCCGTGGGATTTCCAGCCAGGCCCGCCACCTGCCTCCAGGGCGCGCCTTTCCTGACCTGGGGGGTGGGGGGGGGCCGCAGGGGCTCCAGAAGCGGCGCGGGAAGCCGGGTGCACCCCAGGCCAGGGATGCCTTCGTCAACCCTCGCGCGGGGTGCAGGCCGGAACGGCGAGAGGGGAGAGGGACAGACCGTGCAGGGCTCGAGGACTCGTGCTGTCCCTCGGCTCGCGGCGGGTCTCGCGCGTGGCGTCCAGGTGAGATGCCTTGGCTTATCTGGGCTCACGCGGTGTGATGTCGACGTTTCAGCTATCTGCGTTGATTGATCGGGCTAGGTCCCCGCAGGTCGCTGCGGGACGAGCCGACAGGCTCTTGGGGAGCACAGTTGAGGCGGTCTGGAAGGGAAGGACTCCGGGCCCATCCAGTGAGTAGCGGAGGGCACCGAAGAGTGCTGCCTCTGGGGGGGACTCCACCCGCTCGAAACAGGCGCCCAAAACAGACAAGATCTACTCCATGGGGGGGGGGTGCGAGGGCCCAGACCGATCTGCAACACAACGAATCAAAAAACGACCACCAGAGGGAGAGAGAGAGAGAGAGAGAGAGAAAACAACAAAAAAAGGCTGCGGTCCTGCATTGCATGTCTCGGAATCCATGGGGGGCGTCGTGCAGCAGTAGGGCACGACGTCAGGATCCTCTCGTGATCGACCTGCTCGCTGGCTTTTAGAGGCGATCACGAAACTCTGCACATGATGAGGAAGACCGACGGGACTGTTCGGGGAGAAGGGGAGAAGGATGAGGGCACGGGGACAATGAGGACTCGGCCTGGCCTCACTCACCTTCTCAGTTGCCTCTCCTGCCGGCCCTCCACATGCGCATTGATGTAGCACCGATTGGATGCCTCCAGGGAAATGCGCACAAACCTCGCTCAGCAAGGTCATTCTGGGAGTTGCACATGAATCTCGGGACCACCATATGCAACAATACAATCCCGGCGTTTCGACAAAACTCTCTCTCTCTCTCACTCTACGTGCCACTTACCTATACCGCATGACAGCCTACACACAGGATCAGGGCATGCAGCAATGCTCTCTCACATGGTCTCAACCAGCTGGAACATCCAGCAGTCCCTCCACATGCATATGGAAGCGCATGGCACGGTCACGAATACAGCCTCAATGTAACCACAGCTTGCCAAGTGCCGGTAGCGATGATATTCGCACATCTGCGAGCCGACGGAAGCACAAGGGCCAGGTAGAGCTGAGCAAGCGCAAACGTACCCTTTATTTGAATCGTGCCCTTGTGCAATGCAATGCCTTGGCTCTTGCACGCTGTCGTGGACCACCCTAGGACCAGGAGGCACCTGTGAGCGAACCCTGGAGCCTGACCCAGGTATCCCTCCGTAGAACTCAGCCGGTGCAGATGGATGACGACAGCCACTGGTGAACTCGACAATCGGCCCTTCGGTGTCGGTGTCCATCACCGTACCCATCGAGCCGCTGACAAAAGGACACTCAGGGTCACCCTTGCTTGCGCTGCCATGGGTGCAGGAAGTTTTTTGGTAACATCGCTCTCGCTCCCACCTTGAGCTTCACTTCCTCCTGCGCAGGCAACTCGTGAATGCCCCGCAAGATGTCAGAGTCCAGCAGTGCTGCCGCGGGGGCAACACTGCCGACGGCAATGAGCTGGCGAGTGATACCTCAAAGCTGCTGCAGCCAGGGATCGTTCTCCCCATCCCTCTCGCGGTTCTCGCGATCTTGTGTAAATCACGATGCATCCGACTAGGCTCCCTCGTGAGTGACGCTGGGCACGCTCTCCCAATGGCCACGACCCCACCGCAAATCACGCTGGCTCCGCGCTCGAAAGGCCACGACCCGTCGCAAAGCACACTCGGCCCGTGCTCCCTATAAGCCGCGCTCCCTTGTCAGTTCCGCTGGCAGCATGCCTACATCAAGCTGGGGTCACGCTCCCAGCGGCACGACCTCCAGCAGCAGATGCTGCGAAAGGTAAACGTGGGAGCGAGAGAAAGAGAGAGAGAGAGAGAGACAGAGAGAGAGAGGGAGGGAGAGAGAGAGAGAGGGAGAGAGAGAAAGAGAGAGAAAGAGAGAGAGAGAGAGAGAGAAAGAGAGAGAGAGAGAGAAGAGAGAAGGCAGGGAGGACAAGGAGGAGGAGGTGGAGGAAGAGGGGCGAGGAGAAAAGACGGAAGCCAAGGCGGAGTAACAGGAGGAAGGAAGGACGAGACAGACGAGGGACGAAAAAGGAGGAGAAGGACGAGACAGACGAGGGAAGAAGACGAGGAATTCGAGGATATCCACCCAGTGGCAGCGAACTCAGGAAAGAACAACCACAGGCGGAGGTCCATGGAGGACGGTCTCCAGCCTGACGGTGCCCTCGCCGCGGGCTGCAACAACCCGCGACGAGCCCTAGCGGCCAGGGAACAGGCACTTCTAACTCCGCTCGAGGTGTTCTTTCGACCTGGCCCGATCAATCAACGCATATAAGGGAAGGAGACAGAGGAGAAGGCGGAGGAGGACAAGGAGGAGGAGGATGGGATTGAGAAGGAGGGACGAGGACGAGAATGAAGAGATAATCATGTCTCCAGAGATTACCGGAGTCCCCAACTATGTGGTGCAAGCTATGTGGTGTAGTTGTCAATGTGATTCAAGCCAGGTGGTACAATCCATGTTGTGTAAGCTGCCTTGTGCGGCCTATGCGATGCAAGCTGTGTGGTGCAAGCGGCGTGGTGTAAGCGAGGCGGTGCAATGTATGTAAAGTAGATATGTTGTGCAAGCTATGCAGTGCAAAATCTGTCGTGTATGACATGGGGTGTGGTATGCGGTGTAAGCTTCGTGGTGCGGTCTAGACTGTGTATAGACAAATGCGGTGTAGGTCATCTGGCGGACACTATGTGGTGAAAACTGCGTGGTGAATCCTATGCGGTGCAAGCTGTGCGGCTGCCCAGCGCACGAGGCGCGCCGTATGATTTCCGCGGGCTTCCGCCGGCGCGCCCGTCGTCACTTTACTTCCGCTGGCCTCCTGCCGAGAAAACGAGACTCTTCCCAGAATGCGTCATCCATCCTCGATCTTCGGAGGACCCAGCATAGCTGGGAAGGCTTCGGGCTGCACCTCGAGAGCCCCCCCAGGTAGTCCCGACGGGCCTCAACAGGGTCCCCGAGTAGCCCATGGCGGTCTCAACACCCCAGCCCTGGTGATCAGAGCGCCCCAGGGGCGCCGCTGGAGGCGGCGCCAGTTGGGCGCGAATTCATGGGGGGGCGATTCGTGGGGAGGAGGGTGCCCGTTTCAGGCCGTCGGGGCATCCTTCTGGGCCCGAGGGGCCCCGTTAGGAGCCCTGCAGGGCCCCTCCCCTGCAGCCCTCGCTGCCCCCCCAATGTGTCGGCCCTCCAGAAAAAGCATCCTCCAACAGAGCGCCCCAAGGGCGCCGCCGAAGGCGGCGCCAGGGCGTTGAGACCAGCCCGGGTTACTCGTGGGGCCTGTTGAGGCCAGCTGCTGGCTGGGACTGCCTGGGAAGCCGCCGGCCCAGGCGCAGCCAAGTGTCCGTCGACGAGCCGCGGCGCCGAAGGGGCGAGCAGGGAGGCGCGCGGCGGCTGCGGCGGCGGCAGAGGAGGAAGATGCGGACGAGGTGCAAGGGGCCGGCGGGGCAGGCAGGGAGGAAGAGGGGGGAAACCACTGGCATAGCGCGACCTCGGCGGGGGAGGAGGAGGAGGAGGAGGAGGAGGAGGAGGAGGAGGAGGAGGAGGAGGAGGAGGAGGAGGAGGAGGAGAGGCGCCAAGGCCCGAAGGCCGGGCAGGCAGCCCAGGACCCGCGGCCGCGCCCAAGCGCGGCGCCACCCGCGCCCGCGGACCGCAGCCGCAGCCATAGACGCGGGGAACCCCAACCCGCGACCAGCACCCAGCCTCTCGTCGAGGCCAAGTGCATCACCACCTGCGAGATTGAGGACCTTGGTGGACAGTGGGCCTGGAGTGCCGATATCAGTCAGTATCAAGCGACCAAGGTCGCCAGCCTGGCACAGGAGATCAAGAAGGACAAGGGCAGCAGCCAGAGTAATTCTACGATTGCATAAAGCTGCACATCTGCTACGACAACATCACTCAGCAATGGCCTCGCATGGAGAACACCGTCACCGATCCAATTCCAGAAGGCAGAGGCAGCATTCACAAACGCGAGTGCAGCGCGACTCACTTGGTGGACGGCATGAAGGTAGATGGAAGTGCAATACCTGTGGATTGTCAAACCCATGGTCATGCGACAGGTGCTCATGCTGGACAAAAGGGCAAGCAGGGCAAAGACAACACACGCCCAGAAGCAGCAGACGCAAGACTGACAAAGAAAAAGCCCCACCCAAGCGCTCGGCCGAGTTGCAGAAGATGATCGACGGGGTACCCATAGCGACACCAGAGGAGGCGAGATCGTCGAAGGATTTTGAGGAGCCCCCCTCAGACCAGAGCGCAGCACGGGCATTTCGTTACCGAATATATGCCAAGCAATCCCAGCTTGGCATGGCTGCTTTGTCAGGCAAGAAGGCGCAGCTGGACGTGAAAGAGACAGAGTTCAAGATTTCGGTCATGAAGTATATCATAGACATTATGCGTCCAGCAGCAGCACGAGTGGAAGGACACAGAAAGCACCACGAGGCCCTGAAGGAGCAGTACAGGATGAAGGTCAAGCAATCCAAGAAGATCAACGAGGAGCTGGACGACTTGCAGTACCAGATCGACAGGGCCCACGAAGCGTTGGTGGTGGCCATCCAGACAGGGACGGCGAGGAAGAAGAAGCTGAAGGAGAAATGGAAGATGAACATGAGCAAGATTTGGACGATGAAGTAATGCAAGTGGAACCAAGGCTGGGAAGGCCAAGACAGAACCCACAGCGACGCACGTTCCCAGCAGGAGGTTTGCCGCCATCAAGCTCAGGATACGGCCCTGAAGTAGCAGAGACTCCGCACAAAGATGGACACATTGAACAGATCCAGCAGTTGATGCATATGGTGGCCCAGCAGTCAGTTGAAAATGGCAAATTACAAGCACAGCTTCGAGACATACAAGCGGAGTCACAGGCGGCAAAGGCATTCTATGAGCAACAAGCCGCGTACCAGCAGTTCTACATCAACAGGATGACCGACCAGCAGGAGAAGATGATGAACCAGACTGCGGCAGAACGTACAGAGTCGGAGGCAGCAGGACACCAGCCGTCACCTACAACGCCAACGGAGGATTACTTTGCCACACAGGAGCGCCAGCAGGTCATCGACCACAAGAAATGGCTTCAACAGAGTGCAGCGGCGGCGGCACAAGCGCATGCAGCAGCAGCAGCAGTGGGGCAACTCCCGATTATCGACGCAGGGGCCGCAGAGGTCGCAGCTCGACAAGCAGCATATCAAGCTCAACAGCAAGCAGCCGCCCATGATGCTGCACAGCAACAAGGGAAGCAAGAAGAACATCATACAGGGCAACAAGCAGCCCAGCGCGCAGATCATCAGGACCCATACAATGTCACCGCAGCCCACCAGCCAGTACCCGACGACAATCATGACTTGGAGGCCGACAATTGGGACGAAGAGCAGGCAAAGCGAGTGGAGGAGCGCACCATGTATGAGGCTCAAGAGGTGACCGACCAGATGGTACGCAAGGTAATCAAAGAGGAGGCCGAGGCCATGATCGCAGAGAACAGTCAACGTACGCAGGAGCATGA